TGGTAGACCATCATTTCACTCAAACATTGACAATCCTATTTTGAGTTTAAAAAGTATCTGTACCTTTGATGCAAGGGATGATGGCCCTCTGTTGAATGGCAGATGGTTTTTCAAAACCATATGCGTATATGCCCCTGAGAAGAGTCTCCTTCAGGTTCATATCATCAAAGTTGTCCGTAATCTCATTCCAGTTGCTCTGAATTGGGGAAAGACAGTACATGGGTGAATTAGTACTTCAATGATCCAGTTACAGCCAAAAAAAATAATAGTGCCAGTGCTTATATTTCGCCATACTACTTACCTCGATGACACCATCAGGCTCCATTCCATCTGGTCCCCCATGGTCTCTATCTCTTGAGCTGTTGAAAATTAAACACTCTTCAATTTTTACATAAAATGTGACCTTAAAAATAAACTGAACGCATGCTACGGCGGTCGTTTCTTCCAGGCGTCATTTAATGTGAAGGCCTGCTGCCCACTCATCTCCAACAATAAGACCGCCTATTTCGCGATCAGGGTGAGAAACTAAAACACAGAAATTACGTTAGATATGTAGTGAGATAGTCAATCGTAGCCTGGGTTACGCCCCAGCGATCTAGTTCCACAGTCTGGAGGTTCACTGAGCGCACGTGTCAAATTGCACGAGCCGGGCTCCACTGCTAGTCCCTCATAAAATGGCCGCTTACGTAACCTCCAAAGATTTGAGGCTGGCTCCTTACACCCACTGTGGTCCCCGGTAACTCGAGATTAAAATTACATCTGTACACGTTGGATGTACCTCAACATGGGGCTCCGCTTCGCTCACCGTTAGCCAATATGTCGGACAGTTGGGCCTGTACTGCCAACGGTGGCTTCTTCTGAGGCCTACATACAGCCTGGACCGACGGCTCTCAATTTGGATAAACCCCAGCTACAATAGTAAACAAAGGGTTCTACCAATCACTACAAAGTCCTGGTGTACTTTGAGTAAGACGTGGCCAAATATTAAACATTTAAACCAGAATGCTTTTAAAAGCAGTTTGGAACTACGGTGTGTAACGGAGCAGCTAGCGTCATATAGCTAACAGTTAGCCCCAGCGGTTGGGGCCTAGTAAGCTATTTAATAACTAATTTTGCATAACACTAACTGCAAACCACTTTCGCAAGGTTAGACGCAGATAAATATCCAGCGTCGTTTTAAAAAAAAACACGCCCAAACGTATTCTCTTACCTGTTGTAATCAGCAGAATCGCTAGACATGATCCGTTCCCAACTTCAGCATGCGAGTGGAAAGATCGCTGCTCGAGAATACAACTGCATTTATGTAGCCGGACTATTTTCACCGACAAACTCAGTGCCCAATTTGGCTGAAAATAAAGTATTAGTTGACTGACTTAATGTTTGAATCATATTTTATTTAACACACTACTTGTTGTGTTCAAATATGTCTTTAGATAAACAATAAAATGTTAAAATTGTTCCAGACTATATTCCTCGGCGGAAGGATATTGCAGTAATAGTGGGTGCTCGGGCTCGCTACCGTGTCTCTGATAGGTCAAAACTCGCTCTGACAAGGTTGTGCAACATTTTTGGAGAGAAGGTTTGCATGAGGCCCATGCAAGCGGGGTTCAAGAAATAAAATGAAGTTTACTACCACACAGGCAGAGCTAACCGAGGCTTTGCTGTCCAAGTGTGATTATTAAACAACTTTTAATTGGCATAGAGTTTAAAAAGGGACTATGGTGCAGTTTCTGTGTGTTTGACACACTTGCTGTTCCATATTTATCAGTTATGTGTAGTGCTTGAGGCAGGTTTAACACAATTAAAGTACACAGTCACTTCCATATGTGGAGTGACAGATATAGAACTGGTATCTTGCATATTGTAAGGAAAGCTGACTGGACAGGCAAACTTGTCATAACAATAACTGCTTTGGGGAAAATGGGGGAGAAATCTGGAGAAGGCTTCTTCTTGGCATATTATTCAGTAGATTTCCGCTACCTGCTGGATTTAAGCAACTGGCAGTTTGTATGAACTAATTCTCTGTCAGTCTCTTGTGTTTCTTTATTCCAGAAATCAGAGACGTTACAAAGCGGAGACACTCAAAGACTTATGAAAAAAGGACATTGGAAAATACTGACAGCTAAGATTGGTTGTACTTATTTTAGGGTAAAAGTTAACAAGCCTTGATTTAAAAAAAAAAAAAATCAGATTTGACTGGAGATTCTATACATGCAGTTTTTTATCTCCTGGTGACCTTTGAGATGAAAGTTCAGTTAGATAATGCTTCAATTAGTCTCCACTGAGTCAGAGTGGTGAGACTTGCTTTGATAAAGTACCCAGTTTAGCTGAGCTAACACAACCATTTTCTCCCTGTGTCACCTCTCTACTTTCCATGTTTCACCTTCTTGGAGAAGTTCCTGATTTACTTGGAAGACCTTGGACTCTACTCTGGTTTAGACAATGTTAACTAGATTATTATGAGATTATTATAATAAATAATACATATTTAGAGGATTATTCTCTAAATATGAGAGAAGCACACAATAATAATCAATTGTGAGACACACTCACGTGACTGGATATAATATCCCTGTTTACTTTAAAAAACAAATTTAGATTCTGTATATTTAAGCCTTCCCCTACAGCAAAGCTGTTTCAATGGCCAGCTTTTATTTGATCTCAGGTAGTCGTGCTTGCATTGTTAGAAAAAGAAAGAGCATATTTCTCCCATATTAGCTTCTCTTCATTGGCTACCTGTTAAATGTAGACTCACATTTAATATTCTTCTCCTCACATACAAGATCTTGAATAATCAGGTCCTATTTTATCTTCAAGACTTTATATCACCCTAACAGAGCACTCCGCTCTCAGACTTGTGGTTCCTGGGATACTTAGTAGAATAGGAGGCAGAGCCTTTAGCTTTAAGGCCCCTCTTCTGTGGAACGGGACAGACACGCTCTCTTTTAAGATTAGGCTTAGAACTTTCCTTTTTGATTAAGCTTATAGTAAGGGCTGGATAACTAACCCCAAACCTTCCCTTAGTTACACTTCACTGACTGTTTATTGTTCACACTCTCTATATGTTTATACATCACTTTGCATTTAATCAATAGTTATTTTTATGTTTGCCTCTCTCCCACAGTGTGTCTTTTGTCCTGTCTTCCTCCCCTCACGGCACATGGCTGCTCCTCCTTGAGCCTGGTTCTGCCTGAGGTTTCTTCCTGTTAAAAGGGAGTTCTCTGTCCCACTGTTGGGTCATTTGATTGTTGGGATTTTCTCTCTATGATTGTAGAGTTTTAATCTTACTGCTGTTGTGATTTTAGCACTATATAAATAAAACTGAATTGAAATTGAATTGCACAAGTAGTTCTGTTACCTCTACGCTCTATTTCAGTGCATTTCAATAGGAAACACTTTAATTATTTGATTTTAAACTCCATAGACAGTTTAAGCTTTTAGCTAAAACATTTGAGCAACTCTATGGACCATCCGGCAGTATCAGCGCACCACTCTTAAACCAGCACTTGTGATGACTTTTGACTCAGCCAATAAGAGGGAAACTTCATTCTTTCTTTTCTGCTAGAACCACAAAGACCACAAGTAAGTAGGGTACCATAATTTATATACTTAATATTAAGTGAAATTACTGTCTTATCAACAATGAAAAGGTTGTGGTACACATGTCAAATGAGATTACAAATACTTTATTCATCCACAAATGTTACGAAATTGCTCTGTTAAAGCAACCAACAACAAAAAGCTTTGCCTTTTTTCCAGTGTACAAAGGGAGCGGTTGGATTTTTCCTTTTTTTTCTTTAATTAAATACAGTGGAGATATGGTTTGAATTTCACAGATGCAGGCTTTTGGAAACTATATTAATGCACAATGGTGTAGTAGTTAGAGAAGAGTTCCTCCCCTGCTGAAATGTCCCTGAGCGACACTAGCACAACACACCGCAGACGCCTCTGTGTACCCTGGCTGTAGTTGACGTTAGGGAGATACTGGCGGAGCTCAATGGGAAACTTGTCTGGCAGGTCGTACTCCTGGTAGCACACGTTGGCAGGCCTCTCGTAGGAGCAGTTGTTCACATACTGGCCCACAGCCAGGGGGTTATGGGGAGTGTCTGTCAGCCAGCTTGTGTCGCTGGTCAAATAAGGACCTATTCTGTCTCTTCCACTGCACGACTTGAACACCATCCTAGAGATGCCTTTGTCATTCCCATCAACCAGGATGCCATCAATGCATCTGAAAAGAAAGGGGTTTCTGATGGACTGAAGAAGAATGGGCTCATAGGGTTGGTAAACAGTCCCGGGATACATTGCAACTGTTGCTCCTTTGGGTACAGATCCCTTGGTGACAAAGACTCCAGTTCCTGCGAAGGGTAAAGTGCTAGGCTTCCGCTCAATGCAGAATCCCAGTGTCTGTAACATGGCATCCTGTCCGCACACCGGATCTCCTCCAACCTGCTCTGCTTCACTTGTTAGCTGCAGCATAAATGGAGTCTGGAAGTGCCTCTGATGAAACCCATGTTTCCTGAACAGGGCTCTGAAGAGCGTCAGCAGGCTCCGTGAAACCTCCTCATCGGGGACTAGCTTATCTTTCGAGCGCTCAGTCACCTTTCGCAGTGTTTTCTCATTTTTAGACAGGTTGAAGACTACCCAAGGTACAAACCTGTGTCGGTAGGACTTCCATTTGTTCTGAAATCTTCGCAAAACAACTGTAAACATCCAGAGACTTGTTTGTATGTCGGACATTGAAGAACGAGGTTCTTTGGATGAATCGTCGAGTCGTTTCCGATAACTTGCTTCAAAATAAAAAAAAAACACTTGTTGCTATTTCAAAACGTAGAACGAACTTTAAATTTGTTTTGCTTAAATATCTTTAGATATGTATTGTATGTTTGATAAGGAACAAAAAAATCGATAATTAACACTTCTGGAAGTTGGATAGGTTATAGGCTATAAATTGTATGCTCTTATTTTGAAGAGCTGTGATTCAACCGGAAAAACTTTTTACGCGACTTGTAAAAACTTTACGGGCACTAAGCCAGCTGGATGGGAGGAAGAGTAGCCCGGCAGTGACAAACATGGTATGAAATTACTCTTTTTTTATTATTGTTTGTAGGGGCAAATATAACATGTACCCATTCACATAAACGTATAAAAACACATCTCTTCGGATTCATATCATAGTATTAAAACTGCTTTTAATACCTTAAATTCGCCTGAAATAATGAAAACAAACAGCCCCCTCTCCTTTAGCATTAGCTAAGTAGCTCACAGTGGGGCTAACCAACAAGCACAGTGAGCTAACTACGATTGCTATCATTTAAACACATAAAATGACACAACTTTTAGATCGTTATCGTGTGGAATGTGTAACTTTATCAGTAGTATTGATATTAAGACAAGGAAACCGCCAGTCAATACACTAAAAGTCGGTAAATGCAATCAGCATAGCACATCGCTGCTAGTTCCCTCTTACTGTGATTTAGATGTGTTTCGCCAGAGTTCACTGTAGCTAACAGCTAGCCTACCCTTTGTGGTTATTGAAGAGCGGCACGATTATTTCGTTCAGTACTGAGATAACAATTATTTATCATTTTTTCAATTACAGAATTGTTTTTATTGCAGTGCCACGTAAAGACACCGCCTTCATATCTTCGCGTGGACACAACTTTTGTATCAAAATACAAAAGTCACCTGAATTTAGTACGCCTCAGAGAAGGAAAAAACGCTGTCCCAAAACTTAATACAAACTTAAATCAGCAGTGCACTTCTTTCACATTTACATTATGCTACATCCCTGTTAATTCAACTTTATAAATTAATCTTTGCAGAGACATCAGGTCTTTATTCACCTGGCCCATGTGCATTGCCTATAAGCAAAATATAAAGTTTCTCACTCCATTCAGTGTACCTGCATGATGGATGTGAATAAAACTCGAAGCAGTGTACTTCACATATGGGAGATCTTATCTCTAGCAGCACTGCCACTTTAGGAAAGTAATTGCTCGAGGAGATAAATCTTTTGTTTGTCCTGTATGTTTACCCTTTACCCGAAGCCTTTACTACTCACTATGTTTAGTGGACAGAAATATTTGGCCAAATAGAATCTTGATTGGCTGTTGATGTCAGCGTGTCTTTTTGAGCTGCATGGATGTGCAGACTATATAGGCTCACTAGGCTCAAAGGTAACAGTTATAATTGAGACACACAGGCATGCGGTCAGGTGCTGATTTAGTGAGCTTTTGATTTGCTTTTGCTCTGTGTTTTGTTGGTGAAGCACACATTTCAGTTATTGCACAGTCACATTCATTTAATTGTGGGAGGCTAAAATCGTGATTGAGATTAAAATTTGATTAATTGAGCAGCCCTAGTTTATTGTGTGAAAATTCAGATGGTACTCCTTGCAGTGTTATTGTAATCTCCCATTCTGTGCAAGTCGCACAGGGAATTAATACGTAAAAAAATTACTCCACATTGTTGTTGCTGCCTCATACCTTCAGCTATTTGTGTATTTTGGCTATTTGAGTATATGCCCTGTGTGTTGTGTCTGTGCAGAACAAGCTGAAGTCCTCGCAGAAGGATAAAGTTCGCCAGTTCATGATTTTTACACAATCCAGTGAGAAGACTGCAGTGACCTGCCTGGCACAGAATGACTGGAAGCTAGATGTTGCCACAGATAAGTTTTTCCAAAGTCCAGAGCTCTACATTTCAAATCTAAAGGGGGCCTTAGACAAGAAGAAGCTTGAGCAGCTGTACAACAGATACAGAGGTATAGAAAAAGCACCGCTATAATGTTTCCATTGGTTAGAAATTGTATACACAGCACAGGATTGTATTACACATTACAATACTAACGAACTGAAATTAATACTCTGAATGGTTAATCAGTTAATTCATTTTTCTTGTTCTTAGATCCTCATGACGACAACAAAATAGGCATTGATGGGATCCAGCAATTCTGTGACGACTTGGGTTTGGACCCTGCCAGTATAAGCGTCCTTCTCATCGCCTGGAAGTTCAGGGCAGCAACGCAGTGCGAGTTCTCGAAACAGGAGTTCATGGAAGGCATGACAGAACAGGGGTGAGAAAAACAAACAACAGAGGGGGGCAAACTGTGTTCCTATGTGTTCTGTAAAGGAGGCAACAATCATTCAAACACTGGTGTAACTTTAAGTAAGACTGATGGGGTGGATTGTTGTGCAAATGCACGTTTTCATTTAAAAATGCTTATTTTGTGATTTTATTTGGAGAAAGATGCAAACATATTTCCCACATTGTTTGAGCACAGTAAATGTAAATAAAAACAGAATTTAGATTGGAAAAGTTTTTAAATGCTGTATTTCCTAAAAAATAGTAAAAAGACATCACACTAGAAGTTGAGTAGTAACAAATTTAATTGTTTTTTTTGAAAAATATCAAATTTGATATCAGCATCACATATCAAAGATTTTGGCACAGAGGCATAATTCCCACTGTGTTGCATCGCCTCTTTTTATGTCACCGTTAGTGCTCTTCAGCTCTCGCCTCGTGCTAATGCAGTACGTGCTGACTGTGGGTTGACATTCTTAAAGTGAAAAAAAAAATCCTTTCCTGTAAAAATTTTCATCTGAACGTAGTATAAAAAATGGTCGCAGTTTCCTGGTCTGAAAAACCTGCATTCTTTTTAATGGCCTCTAGGAGGCGATAGAGGTGGTTACAAGAGAAGTTCTGGTCCCATGTGGAAAAACGGCTTTCTACTTGGACTTCTGGAAACAAGTTTCTGCTAAGCTTATGGGCTTAGCATTTAGCATTTCAGGTTATACTGAATAAAGCATTGAGTCTTTTTTGCAAATTTTGGTCAATTTTAGTGTCAAAATGGACGATTGTCCAGGATGTGTCTATTGAACACAACAACTTGTGCTTGATAAATCTTAGCCACGCCTTTATACAATGTCCGTACATCTGAATGGGCCGCATATGTTGCTCCAAAACCTTCACGTGGCGTTAAGCATTAACGGTGCCTTCACAGATGTGCAAGTTATCCCTTCCGCATGCTCTAATGTGGCTCATGGGAGCCTTTTGCACACAATCATGTTAGTTATTAACCCAGTTAGTGGGGAGCTGTTCCACCAGGTGGTGTTTTGCGGGTTGCAAAGATTTGTTCTTCTGGTCTGACCCATTTTTTAAATTGTTTTTTTTACTGTATTGCTAAAGATAAATAAATAAATAAATAAAAATGAGCATGTTGTTCAAAAAGTAATAAGAATATATATCAGTCTTTATCTGATCTGATCCGATCCTCCTTATACTACGAGGCCAATCCCAAAAGTAAGGTCTCCTATTTTGTATTTCCTATGTATTTCGAAAACAATAGGAGACCTTACTTTTGGGGTCGCCCTTGTACATCAGTTTCATGTGGGGCTGAAACGATTCTGATGATTATTATATTTTGCTTTTATTTACATTTTACACACTGCCCCAACTTTTCTGGAAACAGCGACACCAAAGTAAAGTTCTTTGATAATTTACATTTTTATGCTATAAAATCTCTGACAACTGTAAAGGCTTCAGGGTCTGCTTGGACTTTGTCAGATATAAACCAGTTGCTACATTTTGCCGCTTCATTTTTAGCCACTGAACAGCAACAGTGTTTTGTTTTTTATCCTTCTGCAGGTGTGACAGCATAGAGAAGCTAAAAGCTCAGCTGCCTAAGATAGAGCAAGAATTAAAGGACTCAAGGAAATTTAAGGACTTCTACCAGTTTACATTTAATTTTGCAAAGAATCCTGGCCAGAAAGGTTTGGGTAAGAATCCTTTTAATGCTCATTGGCTGTTTTTGTTTTCTTGGTTGAATTTCTTTTGATTGAATACTGTTTTTCTTACAGATTTAGAAATGGCAATTGCATATTGGAATTTAGTTCTCCCGGGAAGATTCAAGTTCCTGGACCTGTGGAACAAATTTTTAGTTGTAAGTTTACAATAAATAAATCATAACAAGGCTATGCTAAGTACGCAGGTATCATCGTGTCTCGTAAATAAACTTTGCCTCTCATCCTTTGCAGGAACACCATAAAAGATCGATTCCTAAGGACACTTGGAATCTCTTACTAGACTTCAGCACGATGATCACTGACGACATGTCGAATTACGACGAGGAAGGTTTGTAGATTTCTCGTTGGCAGTCATGTCTTGAAACGTGTTATTCAGAGTCAAATCGCTGAATCTGTTTTGCTTCTTCGATAGGAGCGTGGCCCGTCCTTATTGATGATTTTGTGGAGTTTGCGCGACCACACATCGGAACCAAAAGCACTGCAGTTTAAGGTCCGCTCTCACTGAAGTAACAGCCATGAGAGGTTTCTACAAAATCAGTGACTGGAGGACGGTGGAGTCACACTGAGCTGGGAACTATGTTGCCTTTTCAACCCTCAGGACTGAAATATTTTACACAGCAGAGACTTTATATATATTATGTGTGTGTACAAAAGGCATATCCGTTTGTTAGTTAACACGTGATAGTTTGAAACTTTTATCTAAAGTATTGGGCTTTTGTGTGCGCTCAAGCCAACTAGAGAGGAGTCTCCATTTGATCCCACGTGGGTCTCTGATGTGGTCGCACTCCGATACAGGTAGATATACACACTTGAACTGTAATGTAAACACAAGGGTTTGCAAAGAGGATGTTGTTCTTTAAATACTGAATTTTAATACTAGTGTGCATTTCCTGATTTTGGTTTTATGATATGTTTGTGTTACAAGTCAGTATCAAACATTGATTGTAATTTTTTAAATCATAATGCTGTTTGTTTAAACATGAATGCGTAAGGATAAAATAAATAATTCAGTTTGGTCTCTTTAAAGCTGCCAAGCCTCTGTGCATTTATACTTAGAAAGAGAAAATGAGACATTGAAAGTCAGTCTCTGTTTGGTTTATTGCCAAATACCTCATTAACCTTTAGAAATGTCTTAATTTTTTGTGGCACAAATCCAACAAGGTGCTGGAAACATTCCTCGAAGATTTTCATCAGGATTGACATGACAGCATGACAAAGATTTGCTGGCTTGATGATGAGAATCTCCTGTTCCACCACATTCCACTGGACTGAGTTGAGGTCATTTGAGTACAGTGAACTCATTGTGGTGTTCATGAAACCAGTTTGAGTCCAGGCAATCTTTCTCATTGAACTGTAGCCAAACTTTCCTGTTACTGGCTGACGAGAGGCACCTTCTGTGGTCTAATGCTGCTGTAGCTCATGTAGTTTAAAGCTAGATGTGTTGTATGTTCAGAGTTGCTCTTCTGTACACCTTTGTTGTAACAAGGGGTTATTTGAGTTATTGTTGCTTTTCTATCAGCTGAAAACAATCTGGCCATTCTCCCATGACCTCTGACTTCAACGAGGCAGAGAACTGCTGCTCACTGGATATTTTCTCAGTAGATCAGCAGTTTCTGTAATGCTCGGACCAGCCTGTCTGGCACCAACAGACATGTCGCATTGAGAGTCACTTTAGTCCCCATTTTGATGCTTAGTTTGAACTTCAGTAGGCTGTCTTGACCATGTCTACATGATAAAATGCATTGAGTTGCTACTATGTGATTGGCTGATTTTTTTTTTTTTTTTTAAATATTTACATTAAGGAGCAAATTTGATATGTGATGCCATGTTTTTATGATGTCCCCATAACTATTAGAAGCTTTTTTAAGTTTAAGAGGTTGTTACACCTTAATGGACCTGTGGTTTTAGGTAAATCAAACTGATTCTCAAAGAGCTGTTTCCTAAAATAGTAATTAATCAGTTAGAGAATTAGAGAGGTAGGCTATAATATGCTTAGTTGAAACGGGTCTTTGGATTTTGTATTATTTTTTTAACATCACTGATGGAGATGTCAACTGAGATGGCAATTCAAGCAGAGGCTGAAGCACATCTCAAAGAGGAAGAGAAGTGATAAAAATGGAAACAACTTTGACATCACTTTTCATTTAGTTAATTCAGAAGATCATTTTCTTTATATGCAAGTTTCATTCTATATATTCGTGTTTCATTCTACAGGGAGAGAGAAAAAAAAATGTATAATTTTTTAAGTGTATTTTTTTCCCCTGTATGTTAAAACTAAAGTTCTCAAAAAAAAAAAAGACATTTTGAGTTGTCCCATAAGAAGTACTTCCTGGTTTTTTTTTTTTTGAAAGTAGTAATGTAACAAAGCCCTTGGTGAAACTGATGCACCCACAAACTGATGCAACTGAATTAAATTCAGCTGTCATTATGATTTTTAACCTTCAAACTTCATTCCATATATTCAAGTGTAATTCTATGGGCGCGCGCTGTTTCACTGTAGTCTCGCGTTATTTACTTCCGTTGACGCGTTTATATATGGATGCGTGGTTGCTACGGGCGACTGACAACAGACAGCAACAGCGGAACAGCTAAAAGCTGGAGTTGACACTATCTTAGTGGAAATAAGTATTACTTTAACCCCCTCAGAGAGGCTGTCTTAATCAGAATAAGATGTCTAGCACTAACACAGCTCTGCCTGACACAGGCTGGGATGAGCACTTTGCTATCCCCGAGCCCAACGCTGAAAACAAGGCTCTGCTGGAGGAGGTGAGTGTGGGAAAGTAGTAACTGTTTATCTCACCGCTAAACAAATAGTTTTAGTAAGTGAAGTAATCTAAAGTGTCATACAAGTCTAACAGAGGAATCCGGGATCTCTGATCGAGCCTCTGAATGACTGTAATGCTCACAACGTAAAATAAATTCTGCTTGGGGACTCATACTTTGTTGTCAGCTCTGTTTGCGTCCTCTCTGACTTTACGACAAAAACGCCAGAATATATATATCGTATATACGGTGCACAATGTAATAGAGAATATGCTTGTTTTGGGGCTATATTGACGCTGTAAGTATCTAGACCAGAAGGGTCAGACCACTTATACATTATGCTTTTTATATATTTTTAAACCCCCCCTCCACCCCGGATTTTTGATTTCTCTAAGTTCAAATTGTAAGTTCTCTGCTGAGCAACAGCAATGATTAAAATCAAAATCCGAAACACCCTTTATAGTGGAAAGGCTCTTTGGGTCCCATTTTTTTAAGCCATCACCAGAGTATTATTCTTGATCAGTTATTTTTCCTCCTTCAATGAACAAGCAATTTATGTTTATCTAAAACAGAGGAAGGACAGCTGAAGTGTTAATAAATGCAGTTTTACAAATATATATGTTATTTTTCAGTCTTTTGTCAGTACATGTAGCCTTCACTTTACAAAGCACAGGACGAATGTGGAGTTTCTGTACCTGTATTTTTAGTGATTATAATTCAAACAAGCCCTGCAGTTTACTGTTGATCAGTCCAGGGTTTGCCCAGCCTCTTACCCTATTGCAGCTGGAATAGACTTGAACCCCCTGACAGCTGTAACCAGAGCCTTCCAATAGGCTGTTTCTGGCCTCATTTGCTTGACATCCCTGATGTAGACCCCTTTGTAGCAGTGCCTGAGTTCACAAGTCCTAAGGTTTTTCAAAAAATTGGTAAGTGGCTAAGTGTTGCTTAGCCCTGTTTAAACATTCAAACATTCTTGTGCTCAACAACAGATTCGCAGAAAAGAGATGGAGCTGCTGGAGCTGGAGCACATGCTTGAGAGAAATAAAGATCACAAGAAGATAATGACTGAATACTTAAAGAATGCCAAACAAGAGCTGGATAACACTGAGGTGAGAATATTAGAGCATATTGTGAATTTACCATTTGTCGTACCAGTGTGTGTCGTGTGTGAGACTTTTGTAACTGGCTTGTAGTTACTGTGTCATGGTGTGTTACTTTGTTATTCTGATGTTTTTTCTGCTCACAGGCTCTGTGCAAGGCAAAGGAAAGAGAGGAAGAGTTTGAGAAACACTTGACAGCTCTCTCAGATAGAGAGACAGGTCGCCAGGCTCAGGAGGCTGCTCAGATGGAGAAAGAGCTCAAGTCTTTAGCAGAGAGGAAAGACATGATAGAGGTCTGTGTATATAAACATCTGTATATACACATCATATACAGGATTTGGCTTAGTTTAGCTGTTGGTACCAAAATGATCTTCTGAACTTTTGCCCATCTTGCCAGAATCACATCTTCAAGGGCAAGCAAAAGCTGGATGAGTTTATGGAGCAGATGAACTGGGACAAGCAGACCATGGATGCCTTTTTAGAGGAGTCGGCGCGTAAAGATGAGGACACAATGGCCATCATCAAGTATGCTCAGCAGGACGAGCAGAAGATCAAGGTTAAAAAATAAATAAATTCTGGAATATGGATCATCAAGCTGTTTTCACCCTCTGCTAACAACTGTCTGATCTCTCCTCCTATAGTCACTCACTCTGGCTATAGAGAAGAAGACACTGGAAGCCAAAGAAAAGCAAAAAGCATTGGTCAAAGAGTCGACTGAGACTTTATCTGCTCAGGTAATGTAAGACTGATTCTCAGCAGACAAACCAAAGCAGTTACAAAAACCTTCAGGATGACTGCTGCTTCTTTTCCTGTCCAAACAGATTGCATTGGATAAGACTACAGAGAATCAGCAGCAGGCACACCTGGAGGCCCAGCAACTCATCCACCAGTGGGAAAACACTATCAAGCAGATGATGCAACGGGATGAAGACATGCAGCAGTGTGCTCTGGTAAAGTGTGGGGTGTGGCCGGGCGTGGTTTGCGATGCTGCTGCAGGTGCAATTGACCCATCTGCACAGCATATGCAATCAGTTTGGAGTTTTGGTGAATGTGGTTGTTGTTGTTATGTTGCACTGGCAGCGGGAGAGCTGCAGCTCTGTGTCTGTGTGTACAGCAACCGGTAAAATAAAGATGATCAAAATGCCACTGGGTCTGCCGTGGTCATTTACATGGGGATTTACACTTCTGCTGATAAAAGACATGAAGGAAAGCCAAGAATATGTGAATTAACATTGACAAGTACACGCGAGTAACACCTGTGTTGTTCCTTTATCATTCTAGCAAGTTGCTCAGTTGAACCAGGCTATTAGGGAAAGGAATGCCACGGTAACAGAGAAGAAGAACTTGCTAGATACTCAGAGGAGCAACAACAAGGAAACTGAGAGGAAGATAACCCTCACCAACCGACAGGGAGCAAAACTGAGACAGGATCTGAAGGAGCAGGAGAGTAACTGCAGCAGGCTGCAGGATGAGGTCAGTTCCTCAAACTGTGCTGTATGTAAAGGAGTAGTATCTCCATGTTCTAAGAGCTTGTCAGTCAATGCTCATGTTTGTGTCCTGCAGCTGAATACCTGCAAAAACACACTGGACAGAACAACCTCTGACGTGGAGTCCCTGACATCCCAGATATCCAGAATGAAGAAAGACATCCAGGATAAAAATGACAAGTCAGTGGAATCTTACGACACATCCCTGCCTATAAAATAGCACTGTGATGTTTTACCTCTTTCCCATGTACTGCATGTATACTGTACAGTGCTGTGGCAAAGTATTTGGCCTCTTTTTTTTCATACACACACATTTTCCAATCATCAAAAAAAGTTTTAATATTAGACAAACATATTTGGAGCAAATACAAAATGCAGATTTATAAAAGTAAAAAGTTAAAACTACGACCACCATGTTTGACTGTTGGTATGATGTTCTTTTAGGAAATGCTGTGTTAGTTTAACAGGACGGAAAGCTTCCAAAAGTCTTGTCAGTCCACAGAATATTTTCCCAAAAGTCTCCGTGATCATCAAGATGTGTTTGGCAAATGTGAGAAGAGCCTTTGTGGGTTTTTCTGGTCAGCAGTGATTTTATCCTTGAACTCTCCCATACGTGCCATTTTTGCCCAGTCTCTTTCTTATTGTTGCATCATGACCTCTGACCTTAACTGAGACATGTGAGGCCTGCAGTTCTTTAGATGTTGTTCTGGTTGTTTTGTGACCTCCTGGATGAGTTCACCACTGTTCTCTGTTTGTGGCTGTTGGCTCTGACTGTGGTTCACTGGAGGCCCAAAGCCTAAGAAATGGCTTCTGTTTAAGCAATTTCTTGATTTAACAGCTCTGCCAGTAATCAGGCACGATCGTGGTGAGTGATATTGGACTCAGCTTTCCAAATAATGAGGTTAATCACAGTTAATTCATAATTTAAAAAGGGGAAGAACTAATTTTTTACACATGCCAGGTAGATTGGCACCCAGTGCCCCAAATTAACTGTAGTGGTAATTATGAAAATTATTTTTTATCGTTTCTGTAACAGTTAATCCACCAGTATGCATAAGCTCTTTTTTTAAATGATCAAAATGTAATAAAAAAACAAAACAAAACAGTAAAGCACATTATTATTATTATTTGATGAAGATGGCAAATTACAATTATTTACTGAACAGAAAAAATAGTTTGAGTGGTTGATTGTTAATTATTTTCTGACCTCTTAGAGAAGTCCAGTGTGCCCGCTCATATTTGGGTATAAAAACACGAATACTGTTTATTATTTGCCTAAAAAATAACAATATCATTTTTAGTTTTCAACAACTTTTTGACAATGTCTAAAAT